TTAAGCAAAATAAGCCAGGCATAGAAAGACAAATATCATATGTTACCGCTTATTTGGGGATCAAAAAATTAAAACAATTGAACTCATGGAGATAGAGAGTAGAAGAATGGTTACCAAAGGCTGGGAAGGGTAATGTGGGCGCTGAGAGGAAGTAGAAATAGTAAATGGGTAAAAAAAAATCATGTATGAATACCTAGTTATAAATTTTGTTTAAAAAATACAGTATTTTGTTTTAAAAATTGAGAAGTATTTTGTTTAAAAAAGGCACCAATTGGATAAATTGAGGAATAAACCCTAAAACTGCACCTGTTTTTCCTTTTTCTCAGAGAATCTAATAGCCATTAGAGGCTTTGGGGAATAGATAGGTTCCATGAAATGTGATTTGAAAAGCACTCTTTGTGCTGATTTGAAATCCAAGCTTTGAGAGCTCTATGAGGACTCTCATAATCTAATTCCAGCGATGTGCTCTATTTCATCCTTCTGCTTCACTGCATAAGCCTCTGTCAAAGCCATGCATGAAAGGTTTTGATTTCAAAATATGTTTCTATGCTCTGCTGAAATTGTCATATTCTCCCTCGTCCTGTATTCTAAATTTGCATTAATACTCAGTAAAAATATCTCATATCTCATGGACTTCTCATATATAATATAAAATATTAATATTTATATATAAAAATATATAATATCTTGGGAAGTCCCAAGATATCTATATAATATATAGAGAGATACATATAATATTATATATTTGGATATATTTTATCTATATAATATATATAGATAGATATATAGACATAATATATCTATATATATATATCTTGGGATATCTCAAAATATTATATATATATAAATATATGTATTATATCTAATATATATATTTTATGTATATATAATATATTATTATATAATGTATATTATATATTATATAATATATTATTATATATGTATATTATATATTATATAATATACATATTAGATATAATATTATATATTATATATAATATAATATCTGTGTATGATATCTATATCTTATATATAAGATATAAAATACTTAAGATATATATTATATAATCTGTATATAATATAATACATATGTATACCTTGGAACTTCCCAAGATATAATAAATATATATAAATAATATGTATATGATATATTTTGTAATATGAGATATATATATATATGTATATCTCAAGGAAGTCCCATGATATTTATATTATATATTAATGTGTATTATCACATAGATACATGTTAGGGAAGTCCCATTTTTTATATATATATGTATATATATATATATACACACACACATAATGTAGATAATATATATATTATATAATATATATGTTATATATTATATAAAATATATATTATGTTATATAAATAGATATTATATTAGATTGTATTATATATTACATATTTTATATTTATATATTTTATAATTATTATATAATGTATATATTATAAATATTATATAATATATATTTACCTTTTTAATCATTTCAAACCATGTTTTTAAGTACATTTTTGCATTTACCATGCTTTGTTTTTAATCTTCATCTTCCCTGCTACTTGAGATTTCCTAAAATAATTATGTACTAATTATCTTTGTGTTTCTAGTAACTAGTAGAGTTTCAGATAGTAAACACTTAAGAAATGCCTAAGGAATCATGTAAATTTTGACTTCAAAAGGCAATATAATTTTATTTACAAAAATTCCATTATTGTTAATTTATTTAGTCTTATATATCCTATAAGATAATCGATATATCTAAGAATATGCTACAAATAAAAAATACCAGGTAGTCTACTGCATGTTTTATAGGCATTAGTTATTTAATCTGTCCCACGATTATGAGATAGGTATAACTACTAATAGCAACCACAAAGGAGCCTAAGTTACCTGCAGCTATTTAAATTATCCAGGGTCACATGGCTAGAAGTGACATCTTTGGAACTTAAGTATATCATGTCAGACACCTGAACCTGCTTTTGCCAATACTGTCTACTCTGTATGAGATAAGACTGAATTTATGGTATACTACAGATGCTTATACACTATTTATTTCAACAAAGATTCAAAACAAAACTTGCCAAGATACAATCACATTTATCTTTGAGATTGTCCATTTTATCTCTGTTTGTGAAAAATCCTAGCTAATGCTTTTGTCATTCAGAAATACTATTGGCAGCAAGTCTGGAAGCCTAGAGTTACTGACCTTGGGTTGGCCCATTCATGATGTCAGAAACAGAATCTTTCTGATTCTGCTCAATTTGTTTTCTTCCTTCCTGGTTACAAAATAATTGTCTACCTCCAGACATTAAATCAATGCTTAAGATGAAGGAGAAAGGGGCAGTTACAGTGAAGTCTGTTTCTTATATCAGAAAAGTAGAAAAATTTCCAGAATCTATTTGCTCCTGCTTTCACCTTATTTACATAAATATGGCCACCATTAGATGTGAGCTGAAGTATGTTTTTTTCTGTTGTTGTTGTAACATCAATTTGTAGTTTTTATATTTTTTCGTTCAATTCATAAGACTTTATTGCTTTATTTCCAAGTGTATCATCCTTTAAGAATTCTAGAACTTTAAGTGACAAATTTGCTCCCTAAATTTGCACCAGACTTCTTTTATAATACCATATTAACTTAAATATAAGACATTTAATTTGTATGTGAAGATTCCTTCAACAATAGTTTCTGATTCTGTTTGGTTGCCTTGCCAAGTAATGATGACTAACGTACATACAGACAACTTATTTACACTGAGACTTGATATCAGGAATCTCAGAATAGAGGCAATAACTTAGAAATACAAAACCACTTTTGACATCCAAGAAAGCTAAGAGAATGCTTATTAAGTTAAAATCTATACTATGTATAGTTATAGAAATTGCCTCTGACACCTTATTCAGAGATTCTAACTCAATGTATGTAAATGTATCATGAATTTTATTTAACTTCTAAATATGGAATATTGTAGAAGCAAAATATTAGAGAAAGACCAATTAGGTACCAGCAGAATTACTATCATAGGAGATATAAGATGGAAAAAGAAAGCATGTTCAAGAATTATAAAATTATAAAAGTGAATGCTAGAAATAAGTCTAGTCTTTTTTATTGAAACTTACACACACACGTATGTTGGCAAAACACTGTAAGTAATTTTTATCAATATAACATAGTGATTGCACAGAATTTAATGACATACAGTATTTACATAAAAAGTACAGAAACATTTGGCACTTTAGAAAGACTTTTTATAAAAATAGTACATAAAAATTTGGGGCTTGAGTGGCTAAAATTATTGAATTCCACAATCCATATATATATATATTTTTTATAAAATGCCTTTTTCTCTGATGATAGACCTAGGTGACACTATTGTTGGTTACTTGTAAGTCAAATAAATTCAAGTTAAGGCATGATGTATAAATCCTTATCTGATGTTACTAAGCAATGAATAAGACTGTTAAAAGGGAGGCATGGTAAATTCATTTCAGTTACAGAAATAATTCAGCTTATCTGGCATTATAGTGGATCGATTCAAGTTTCCTCAAAGTAATCTATAAGTTTTCATTAATCTATTATGTTGGTATTTTAAAATGTAACATAATGCATATTAGTTTAATGTAATTATTATTTATATTCATTTAATTTAATTATATAAATGTTAGAGAAATGTTGCATTTTCTAAAAATAAATCATCCACATAAATGACAAAATAATAAATTCATTTTAGGTTGTTTTATGCTTTTAGAAATTCCAATTCTCACATTTCAAGGTCACTAAAGAGAAAAAATATCCTTTGCATTTAATTTTATGGCTTTATAAAAATATGTATATCTGCTATCTAGGTAGGATCTCTAAATACTGCTTTCTTTGTTTACCCATGAAAAGTTTAAAATGAAAACATGATAACCACTATAAAATTTGCTGTTGGCTGAGCATTAAGATATATTGTTTTTGTTTTAATTGTATTTTACTTTTTCAAAAAAACTGAATAGTTTTCTAGTAATAATTCATGACCTCTACACTCAAACACCAAAGAGCAAACTAAGTAACTTTCTTTTGCTGAAACGTGATAAAATAATTAAAGAATGTGAACATTTCTCTGATAATTTAGAATCTCAAAATTTTCAACTCAGTTGAAATATCTAGGAAATTAAGATAATGATATAATAGTTATTGTTAGGGTATTCTTAATTTTTTGATTAAACAAGAAAGTGAGTTTCCAGTACGATATAATTGACATTTCTATTCCATTTATTGCCTAAAATATTATCAGTTATTGGGCAAAGAAAGTGATGTGTTTTTATTTTATCAAGAAGATTCTCAAAATTAAAAATATTACTAGAATAAAACAAAAATACATAAAGCATCCTTTTGATATACAGTTGATATTGTCAGTACATCATTAAAAATAAGAATTTACTGCATTTTCATTATCTTAACAAAGAATAACCACATGTTCATAAGTCAATGTAGTTTTAATTTATCAATTAATTTAAATTTTGAGCAACATATTTTTAAAACTTTAGAAAAATTTAGAATAATATAATAGCTGGACATCTCAATATTAATCTAATTCATACTCTAACCAAAAAAGTAATAAGGGATAATATACTTATCATTTTGGGCTGATCTAGATTGGTCTAGCTGAAAGAATTTAGACAGAATTGTCTTTTTGATGGTTCATATCTCATTGAAAATTTTATTAGAAAAATTAATTTTTATTTAATTTTCTTATTTTTAAACATTTTATGGACACATGGAGTATATATTTATGGAGTACATGAGATATTTTGTTAGAGACATACAATGTAAAATAAGTTTGTTTTTTTTTTGGTGTTTTCTCAACTTTATTATGGAGAGGGGAAGGGGAAGTAGACTTGAAGGTTTTCTTATTTTTTAATGCAAAAACAATTTATCCTGTGTTTGATACCAGATGAGACTGTAAGGGTCACATACTCCTTAGACCTACACATCAGTCCCTAATGCTTCAGGTGAAGTGCTTCAGGTTTGGCTCATTCTGACACCAAAGTAAGGGCTCTCTAGGCCAAGGTTGGAAAGACAGCTTTTGCCTCAGAACCACGCAGGTTTGGGCATTATATAAACTTTTACAGGCTTGCTGAAGGGAATGGTGCCCTCGATGCTGGTTTCCACCTGGGGCGATACCTCACTACCCTCCATCCAGGGGGCATTTTGGAATGCGAGCACTGGAGTTGTAGGACAGCAGCAGCCTCACTTCTACCTGACATGGCTCTGTCCAAGCAGTTTGGGAGAGGTAAACCTGAGTGATGAGTCGGTGCCACCCTGGGCCAGGATTCCAGAAGTCTGCGGGCTTGGGGTGAATCATCTGAGCCTGGCCATCTGGATATAAGACCTGGACCTTCACAGTGTTCTGAGGGTCCTGCACATGTTCTAGGGTTGCATCAACATCCAGGGCCACCACCAACCCGGATGTAAACCGCAAAGGGTTGTCTGACTCTACTGCTGGCTCGATGGTGGTGGCTGAGGCTTTGTGGATCTGCTCTGGAAGTGGGAGATGCAGGAAGGCACTGTGCCACAGCATGGTCTGTAGAATTTTGACCACTTCTGCAGGTTTGGATGTCATGAGTCAGGGCATAAGGTCAAGAAGTTTGTCCACAAAGCTGTCCTGCAAGTGCAGCAAATCAGCGATGAAATACCTCTGAAAAAGTCCACTTCCTGTAGAAATTTTTCACACATCCCAAATAAGGGGTCAAGTCCTCGTGTAGTTCGTGCTGTTACTATAAGTTGCAAAGCTTTGGCCTGTAGCCTCATGGGGAGTAGGGTCTCCATCTTCTCAATCATATATTCTTTGAGTTACAAATAATTCACTTCCACTCTTTAAATTATTTTAACATATACAATTAAGTTATTGACTATAGTCACAATATTGCACTATTAAATATATGTTTGGTTTTTTTTTCCTCTTTTTTTCACTTTGATTTTTGAGATACATGGGCCAAACGTACAGATTTGATACATAGGTATACGTATACATAGGTATACATATCAAACCTGCACATTTGGCCTATGTATCTCAAAAATCACATAGTCAATAGGTGGTTTGCTGCACCTATTGACCTGTCCTCTAAAGTTCCCCCTTTGCCCTCCACCCCTCAACAGGCCCTGGTGTATGTCGTTTCCCTTCCTGTGTATATGTGTTCTCATTGTTCATCTCCACTTCTAAGTGAGAACATGGAGTGATTGGGTTTCTGTTTCTGTTTTAGTTTGCTGAGGATGATGGCTTCCAGCTTCATCCATGTCCCTGCAAAGAACCTAAGTACTATGCATTTATGGATGCATAGTATTCTATGGCATATATGTACCACATTTTATTTACTCTGTTTTCTTATTGATAGGTTTTGTGTTTGTTTTTCTCTTGCTGCTTATAGAATCATATCTTTATCCTTGACCTTTGGGAAATTGATTATTAAATGCCTTGAAGTAGTCTTTTTTGGGCTAAATCTGCTACATGTTCTGTAAACTTCTTATTCTTTCATATTGGTATCTTTAGATTTAGGAAGTTCTCTGTTATTACTCTTGTTTAAAAACTTTCTATCCCTAAATCTTTCTCTACTGTCTTCTTAAGGATAATAACTCAGATTTGCCCTTTCAAGGCTATTTTCTAGATCCTATAGGCATACTTCATTTTTAAAAATTTTTTTCTCCTCTGACTATTATTTTCAATTAGCCTGTTTTTAGTCTCACTAATTCTTTCTTCTGCTTGGCCTGTTCTGCTACTAAAAAACTCTGATTCAGTCTTCAGTATGAGAATTTCATTTTTGTTCACCGGAATTCTTGACTTAATCTGTAATATTTTAATCTATTTGTTAAATTTATGTGCTAGACTTCTGAATTCCTTCTCTGTGTTCTCTTGAATTTATTGAGTTTCCTCAACAAAGCTATTTTGAATTTCCTTTCTGAAAAGTCACATATCTCTGTTTCTCCAGAATTAGTCCCTGGTGCTTTATTTAGGTTATTTGATGAGGCCAAATTTCCCTGGATGGTGTTGATGCTAATAGATATGCTTTGGTCTCTGGGCATTGAAAAGTTAGGTAGTTACTGTCATCTTCATTGTGTGAACCAATTTGTAGCTATCCTTCTTAGGAAGGATTTTCAATTATTTGAAAAGATTTGGGCATTGTGCCTAAGTTTTATCTGCTTTAGGGGACACCCAATGTACAGCTACACTGTGGTTCTTGTAGGCTCATAGAAGTACTGCTTCGATAGTTTTGGACAAGATCTGGAAGAATCTTTTAAATTGCCAGGCAGATATTCTTTTTTATTTCCCTTATATTTTCCCAAAGTTAGAGTCTCCCTCTCTATTTGGAGCTACCTAGGTGTTGAGGTGAAGTGACACAAGCACCCCTGTGACCACCACCACCATGACTGTGCTGAGTCACACCTGAAGACAGCACAGGGCTAGGTCTCACCCAAGACTTGCTTAACCACTGTCTGGCTACTGTATATGTTATCTCAAGGTCCTGGGGCTCCAGAATCAGCAGATGGCAAAGCCAGTCACATCTGTGTAATTTCCTCCATGGTAGCAAGGTTCCCCAAGCCCTGGGTGGATCCAGAAATGCTGTGCAGGAGCCAGGGACAATAATAAAAATCATTAGAAGTCTACCTAGTGTTCAGTTGTATTGTGGCATAGCTGCTAATCAAACCACAAGATGCAGTCCTTCTCACTCTCCCCTCTGTTTTCCAAAGGCAGGGGATCCTCAACCCAAAACCACCACCACCCCATGTGATTTGGAGTACTGCCAGACTAACTCCAATTTTTTTTGTGAGGCCTAGGTTCTCTTAAGTCAACTTGTTGTGAATGCTGCCTGGCCTGAGACTCACCCTTCAGGGCAGTGGGCTTCCCTGTGGCTCAGGGTGGGTCTATAAATATCATCTAAGGGTCAAGTCCTGAATTGAGGACTCCAAGAGATGCTTTGTTCTCTACCCTGCTGTGACTGAGCTGGTACCTAAGGAGCAAGAAAAAGTCCCTTTTACTTTTCCCTCTGGTTTTCTCAAGCACGAGGAGTTTTGTCTCGTAGCCACCGCAGGTTGTTATCTTCTGAGTCTTACCTGAAGCCAGTAGTCTCAGAGATTTACCCCAGGTCCTCAGTGTAGTACCTCTGTGTCACTGCTGGTTATTCAGGGCCCAAGATCTCTTCATTTTGTAAGTGATGAATGATGGCAGGACTGGGTTCTTTCCTTCAAAATAGCAAGTTTCTTTCTGGCCCAGGGTGGGTCTAGAAATGTCATCTGGGAGTAGTGCCTGGGACAGTAGCATCATGATTCTGACTAGTGCCCTATCCTGCTGGGGCTGAGTTGTTATCTTAGATGGAAGGTAAAGTCCCCCGTCCCCTCTCCCTTCTTCTCTCCTCAAGCAGAAGAAAGGATTTCTTCTTGAGCTATGAGCCATTCATCCTGGGGGTAGGGGTGGTGTGATGTTACCACTTCCTTGTCTGCCTGAGTTAGTGTCTCAGTATGTCACACTGCCCTCCAGTTAATTGTCTCTAAGTCTGATTCACACTATGGCTTGCCTAAGAATTGCAGTCCTTATGGGATAGACTATCTTTCAAGTTTACTGGGAGACAGAGAGCTGTATCCCATGGTGGTGAGGTTGAAACTCAAGTTCCCAACTGCTGGGTTAGGTGATTCCCTTCTAGCTAGGGTGGATGTTCCTTCCATGTGTGGCCATCAGCTGAGTTTGGTCCATTTTTCCACTCTGCTCTAAGAGAACAGCACAGAGTTCAATACCTCACAATTGCTGTGTTTTTCTTCCCGCAGCACCCAGAGAAGCTACCTTCACCACACAGCTGCTACCAAAATTGGGGGAGGATTGGCACTGGCAATTCAGGACTGCTTTTTGGTTTATCCCCTCAGTGCCTCTTTCAGTGATAAGAAGTTAAAACCAGGTACTATGAGTGCTTGCCTGATTTTTAGTCCCTATAAAGGTGTTTTTTCTGTGAAGATTGCTGTTTATTTGGTGTCCTTGCAGGTGTAGAGATGAAGGGAAGATGAGTGGAACCTCCCATTCCACCATCTTGCTCAGCCCTCCTGATTGAAAACTTTTTCAAATGCCAGCCATTAATCTGTGCATACTATGCTTGAAAATCCATTTTGCCTCACTTATTTGCTATTCATTTTTTACTTGTTTATTCATTTGTGCAATGCAAATTTAACAAATGCTTGTATGTGAAGACAGACATTTTGCTAAGTATTGACATTTCATTGATGAGAAGAATAAGTGCATTCCTTGTCCTCATATAGTTTCTAGTCCATTAACCATACCAAAACTCTAATAGACTAGTATGGCATTGATAATTAGTCTTAGAAATTATGTTTTGTTTCTGGATGTGTAATTCTTTAAGTTCCAATTGGATTATTTTACTGGAGAAGAATATATAGAATGTCTTCCTGAAAGCAGTTTGTCTTCTTATGACTCCTGAATGCCTAATTTGCAATCCAAGGTAAATGAAAAATTATGAATGATAAAATCATAGCACCCTTGAAATGAAAATTAAGAGGCAAATACCAAGGTTTTTTTTTTTCCTTAAAAAATGTGGCTGAAGTAAGTATGTAACCAAGGTAATAAGACTGAGAAGACTATGGTGCCAAATAACATAATTATGTGAGCAGCAATGGACTAAGAGTAGGATGGCAACTTGCCACATGTCCCTGAACCAGAGAAGGAGACTGCAAATAATTTTGCATCATTAGAGAAAAGGTAGAATTAGCATTAGGTGAGAAAATGCAGAGTTTTCATTAAGGATAGAACTGATTTTTCAGGGAATAAAAGTAGCAGAAGGAGAAGAAAATAGGAAATGGAGTGTTCACATTAAGAATTAATCAGTAAAGAAAATTTCAACTTTCTTGGTTAATTTATAAACATAAGGACAGAAGGATTCAGGGGAACTCGTATTAAGATGAAATCTTTCTCCCACACATATTTATCCTCCCATTTATAAATATCTGTATGGGATTTTCCTTTCTTCCAAATTTTTAAAGTTTTATTTTTCTCATCCATGTATTTTTTTTCTCCTCATCATTGACTCTAATTAATATTTTAGAGCTGAGCCTTAAGCTATTTCTACTTCTTTAACTGGTATGCAGAAATGAATTATGTAAAACTTGGCAATGAAGCAAATGATGATTATGAGACTTTTTAATATCATGCTAGATCATGTCCTAATAAGCCTCTCTAATGACCATCTGTCTCCCTTATGGAATCTAACTTTGGTGGAATTACTTCACAATTGATTGGGATTCTGTTGTTTTATAATCTGTATAGTTACAGGACCTAATTAAATAGTTTGTGCACAGCAAAAGAAACTATGAACAGAGTAAATAGACAACCTACCAGTAGGGAGAAAATATTCACAACCTCTGCATCTGACAAAGATCTAATATCCAGAATTTGTAAGGGAGATAAACAATTCAACAAGCAGAAAACAAATAACCCCATTCAAAATGGACAAAAGACATGAACAGACACTTCTCACAATAAGACACTGAAGTGACAAACATAAAAAAAATACTCAGCATCATTAATCATCAGATAAATGCAAAGCAAAACCACAAGGAGCTAACATCTCATGCTTGTCAGAATGGCAACTATTAAAAAGCCAAAAAATAACAGATGCTGGTGAGGTTGCGGAGAAAAGGAGACACTTATACACTGTTGATGGGAATGTAAATTAGTTCAGCCACTGTGGAAAGCAGGTTGGACTTTTCTCAAACAAGTTCAAACAATTATCATTTCACACAGTAATCCCATGACTAGGTATATATCAAAGAAA